AATTAAATTTTATATTTTCACATAGGAATTTTCTATTAAAAAACAAGTTTGTCTACCCTGCTTCACCTTGTAGGCACAAAGTCGGAACGACTTGCAGCTTCAAATTATCTCGTTAGTAAAAAATTCCTATAGAAATTACAAAATTACTCATATTATTAGCCACTGAACCCACCGCGTTATAAGGATCTCATATAAAATACTTATCATTTAATTTAATGAGTCGAACAGAATGGTACGGTCTTCTTAATTTATAATTTATAATAAACTTAAAGGAGTCTGCTGCTTCGACTGATTTATGTTATAAGACTTCTGTTCCATGAGAACTGGTAACCGAGTCCATATTTCATTTATTATTTATTGTAATAATTCGAAGTAGATACCAGACGAAATTGAGTGATAGGAACATCAAGTTAAATCAAAATCAATATCTACATAATTCTTGCTCGGGTTCACGTCCGGTAACAAAGCTTATCAATCAATCTTCTTCATTCCTTTGGTGAAGATTATTAAGTAGTTCGGATCGGTATAGAACTTAGATGATAGTCTGAAATAGATAGATACATTTAGAGCATCTAAATATTTTTAAGTCTATGTAGTAACTAATTAATTAAAATCACTTTCCAAAGTGTTTACATTCTGAGTTATTGATTATCAAAGAAAGATATAAAACCAAGGGTATACAAGGGCTCTTATATGATTTTGTTATCATAGTTTATTTCTACAACAAAGTATTACTAAATGTATATAGATGTTTAATTATCCACAAATAATACGAACGTCAGATTAATAATGAGTTTTTCAGTGCTATCATTTTTTGTGGTACATGTATAATTACAATATAATTAAAGGTAATTATATCGATAATAAAGTTTTCCATAGAATGCGTTACGCATATTATGACTATTGAATAACGTTCATATACCTTCTGATGTCAGATTTGTAATAATTTTTGATGGAGTCTGATTAGATGGCTGATGGTCTGATTAGATCATTATTATCAAGTGCTATGTAGATTAAATTCCACGAACCTAAGCGATTTATTGATTGTTTTCTTATTCAAATACCATTTAACTCTATTTTAATCTATGAAATATGATCTGCAAGAGGGTGTGTCAGCTAATAATACTTGTGTAATTTAATATTTCTGCACCAGAGTGATGTTCGTTTTACATGGGAACGCACTTTCAATTAGAGTGAAACGATAGGCAGGGAAATTTCTAGATGCCCTTGTTTAATTGTAGAAATCACGACCTTATGCACTTGTAAAGGTCAATTTATTCATTATTTATATTTTTATTATAAAACTAAAATGTAGTTATAAACTGCATACATGCTTAAAATCATATTAAATTATATCAAATATCGATATTTAAATAAAATGTTTTAGATAAGAATAACAAAAGAAGCAGTAAATATAGAGATTATAGTGAGAGACCATACTTATACATATATGTAGAATTAGCGCCTAAAACAACAAAGGATTGTTCCCGCCGTGGCCGTGCGCGTCACAGGTGTGTCTGGGCGCGTGATCCTGCACCTGTGTGCCCCCCGCGTCCCTTTCACTGGTATTTTGAAATAAAAAGATTTATACTCGCTTAAATAATACGTGTTAAATAGAGTGTCCGGCATTAGGGGCGTCCGGCGTTACGGGACTTTCCCCTAATTAAAGAGACCAGAAGTTCACATCAGGTTATTTATAATCTTCAAAATTTTATAAAAAATAACTTGATATATAAGTGTGTGTGTGGGTATGTTATATCTATAATATGTTATAATACAAATCTCCCAAGATCACTAACCGCAACTCAATTGTTTGTATACTGTGGATTCTGAAGACCTTATAAAAACTGGGAAACAATGTAGGTAATCATTGTTATCTCTTTTACGATCCATAAACTAGAATGCAATCAATAGGCGCCCGATGTTGACATTAAATTTTATTCGCTCTTGAATCGTAATAGTAATTAGAATCGTTTTAAATTATGGTATGCAACGAAACGATTATCGTGGTGGGCAATTAGAACACCGTATATAATTATATATTAGCTATTAAATGATTAATGATGATTCAATTATAAAGCAACTGTTTTTTTACAAGAGTAATCGACCGACCAACGTCGCCTGGCTGACTAGCCATTCGATCCGTTATTTGCAATAAATACGATTGTTGTAACTGGAATTGTTGATAATTGCTACGCAAATATTAGTATTTATAATAATTAATTAATTCATTATTAATTTGATCTGCAAAAGTGACAAGTAGTTTATAAATTATAATTTTTGCTGCTGGTTATCAGAAAAATACGGCTTACTACAAGTATATTAAACTTCAGAGAACCTCCGGTTTACTCTTCTGGGATTTTGTTGAACTTTCGCATGGTAATAGAGTTTATAGACAAACCGAACATCTTAAAATATTATAGGCCTATGAAAAGTGGTTTAATTATAAAAATTAATTAAAATTGCGTATAGGGTTTTCCACTAATACTTTTCGGTTGCTCTTGCTCCGTTTGTATTCGAATTCATAGGTAAGAGAATTAAAAATGAACGAGTTCAAATCTGTCAGAGTATGATTTTAAATTTAAAAAAATTTGAATATTGTTTTAGTGTTTGAATGTTTAAAATTTGCAAAAATATTAATAATTTTTAACTCATTTCCTATATTTTGAGATTTTTTGTTACTGGAGACATTTCACTATTTTTAACTTTGAACGAATTATTTGCAAATTATTATCGAATTTGAAAAATTTTAAACATAGAGGCATAACATATTTTAAATACTACAAACGCAATAAAATTGCTTCAGATATTGCGAACTCTACTTGCGATATATCAATTTACATAAATACCAACGGTGTTGATCTATCTAACAAGTCATTTATACGTTTAGGAAGTCCATTATATGTATTTGAAGTGTAAAGTTTCTGGTTAGTATGAGGTGCTTCTTCCATTGATGGATTATTTTTCGATCGTTGGTCCCGCGTTCCTAGATTGGAAACCACCATTATTACATTTGCTGGCTCGAATAATTTTTTATTACAATATAACTGCTCGAACGCGTGACGGAACACGAGCGCTATCATGCCGTGTTTGAAATCAATTGCAAAATAAATTGCGTCCATTCGATTTGATGTCACGGACAATGAATGGACTAAATGAAAGAAGGATCAATCATCGGGACGTCGAGGATGCCAAAAAAAACAAAATCATAATAAAATAAATGAGCCTTGTAGGTAGTCCCAGGTTATTGTGTTTCCCTTTTGCGCCCATAAATCTTATACAATTACTTCTTTGGTTTCACAAGCGGTTTGTCTATCATCTCTTCTGTATGATATATGATACATTGCTCCCACAAACCGCCGCTGTGCTCCTTGTCAGAACGGATCCGCTTAGAATCCGAATACATTTGAATGTTTTGATTTTGATGGATCTAATGTTGCTTACGACTTATTCACATCGCGCGCGCAGGTAACACCTACACTCCATGCTTTGTGGCTAGTCGGATAATTTATTTCAAACATGGGTAAAGAAAACATTGTTGTTAAAGCACGACTTGGTAATCGTTTGATTTGAATTGTCTCTCTTAAGTTACACGTACAAATTATCGACTGAATAATTGGCACAACAGAAATAGATTTTACAGTAATTTATTTCCGTCTAGAGGGAATTTTAGTATTTTCACTAGTTTCCACTCCTTTCGAAGTTGATATATACCTTTAGAAACATTTATAGTTTATTGTAAATCTTATGGCGAAATCTCCGATCCGCTATCAGCCATAATTCATACGATCACTAAATGTGAAATACGTTCCTGAATTTCTTGGCAGATTCCGAAGCTACAGTAATAACCTAAAAATCAAGTAATGAAAATTGATTTATAGAATATTACTTACTGCCAAATATATTGATCGGACGTCTTTTCGTTTTATTATATTGGCCATGAAGGTGACAATCTTCAGGGCATTAAGCTTTACACGGAAGCTTACCCTGGTAGAAGGGGTAGCGGAGTGTTTTAATTGAACTAGTTGTTTACTTCAAAAAGTAAAGTCCCCTTAACAACATGTAAATAACCAATAAAAATAAATATATCTTCTTTCATTATAACTTAGTAACAAATTAGTGATTGTAATTAGAACTGCAACAAATACATAATATACAAACAAATCAGTGTTTAATACAGTCCACAGCTCCAAGGGTTAAATTATAACCCAACAACCTGAATTATCGAAGGAGAGTTTTAATAAATTCTATAACTACGTAACACAAAAGTACATATATGTTGCTTTTATTCTCATAAATCTTGAAGAACAGTAAGGTAAATAGTTCAACCAGTTAAACACTATTTTGCATTTCACTTACCATATGTTTGACTTACCAGATTGCACAATACGTATGCCAATGCATATATTTTGACAACATATTTTAAAATGATTTTTGAGCATTGGTTTTCAAATTTCTATATTTATGTCGAATTTACTGCATAAATTATAATTTAGTAAATGTAGACAACTCAAAATGCATATTAGTTACTTATTCACCCAGAAGCCTCAGAGAATGAATTTTAATCGTTTGCGTTTCTGTTCCTAGTATCTTCAATTCGACAATCATCCAAATGGATGTAGATTAAGCTGTTAGATATGTCCGTAGAAGCTGAATTTTTTGCCGCAATTTGTACAAAGCCGTTCAATCAAAAGAAATCGTGATTACCATTTATTTTATTCCATTGAACCTGCTAGATGAAATACAACTATCAGTTTAATTCGCTCTCCGACATTGAATAATCGATGTAGATATAAGACACAATATATTTCATGTATTATTTTAATGTATGTATATTATAACTTGGTTTTAATTTGATTCGAGCTAATGGATGTTTTGTACAATTAAGTTGGTGCTATTAATCGAACTGTTGTATAATTTATCTCGATAAGAAACCGAACGTTCATGATATTTATCATATGCTGAGTCGGATGTAAATAGATTTTGTTTGTTTGGTGAAGATATTCTTATAATGAATTAATTTATACTACACACACAAATATATATATATATATATATATATATATATATATATATATTATGGTGTTGATTTTTTGATAATGCAGTTCCGCCTCTTATGTTTTATACTAAAATGCGTTAGTTCTCACAAGGTATATTATTTCCTGTTTAATCTTTACTTTAGACATTTTAACCTTCAAAAACTGTCTTCGCGTTCGTTTAAGTCATAAAGGCACCTGGCTCGGCTGTGTGAACACCGAAAAACGAAAGAAAGTAAACATGAAATAGTCAGATAGGTCTAGGAAACGCATATAAACCAGTTGCAAACTAAAATGAGACAAACAAATAGAGATAAAACTCTTGGGTCATCAGTTTGAATACATCTTGACACACAATTATAGGGATGAGTTTACATGAAAAAAAATCGATTTAAAACAATTGGTATAATACTTATTAATGTATTATAAAACTAGGTATTTGTTATAATTCTCAACATTTCATTTAAATAACGGGCTATAAGTATTGTTTTATCCTAAATACTTCGCACCTTAGTTTGTTAATAGATACATATTCAAATTTATATATTCATATGATTTTTTTTCAAATCTTATTTTCTGTTCTTTTCAAATTTTAAAGCTAAAGCTAGTCTTTTTCATATTTTTACATTCTTTACTATCTCATTCCTATATCTCATATTCTATCTCATCTTTACTCTTCACAGCAGATTTCTACATTTTTTTCTTTTTAAATCTGAATTTTTAACTTCCCGTAGGGTAAGTTATAGTAATTGCAAAAAAATCGAAAATTTTTATATATCTTCATGTTTCAGAGGTTTCTCAATATTTTGAAAAAATGATGTATGTGTGTGTGTGCGTGTGTGTGTATGTGTGTGTGTGCGTGTGTGTATGTGTGTTTGGATACAAATTTTCGTCGACGATTTCGGGAACACGGATGAAGCGATTTGAATAATTCAAAAAACATTCGATTCGTATTGATAAGGAGATGTGCTGATTAGTTTTTGGCGAAGGCAGGTCTAGCCGTTCCGAAGATATGGGGCAAAAGGTGCCAAAAACGGTAACTCAGTTTTTTAGGGAACGGAGCGTCCGATTTGAATAATTCAAAACACATTTTACTTGTATTAACAAGATGAAGAACTGATCAAATTTTCATGAAGGCAGGTCTAGCGGTTTCGGAGATATAGTAAAAAATGTAAAAAAATGTTATTTGGCGGTCAAAAATGATCATTAGACATATATGCACATCAAATTATCAGATATTTTATAGAGATTTTAACAATAAGTATAAATTTTGTTTACATTCCTAAGGGTTTTGTACCAATGTTTATCCGTTAGACGGCGATGCGGCGCTTACGCGCTTCGATATTTTGTCTCTATGCAGTTAAAGCAGTACGATTGCTTTGAAAAAAGGTTCAGAATTTCCAAAATATTTCAAAATAAATTTTCTTCAAAAATGTAAATTTTTGTCAAAAATTTATAGTTTCTCAAAAATCAAATTTTTTCAGAGTAAATGTTGTTCAAAAATGTTGGTCTTTAAAAAAAAAAAATCTTGCAATACGGCAAGTTCCAGCAATTTGCCTTAAGGCACGATGCCATGCGCCCCACTAGTTCCAATTCTAATTTTCCTTCCCTCTTACTTCTATATTTATTTAAATCTATCTCAACAAGTCTAATTCTATTTAATGCCAAACAATTTTCAAATTTGACTTCTTACTTTCAGTTCTATGAATTTCAAATTAACAATTCAAATTTGACTGAATTTTAACTGAACGTTGTAATTCTGTGTCATTGCCAAGGATCGTTCCAAGGATTGCTGGCGTTTGAGTCAGGCACTTAGCTCTTACCTATTGATTCTTAATTCGTACATATTACTTATCGATGTTGATATCGATTTTCCTCTGCGATTTTCCCATCCCTAGGTTGTATCGGGCACGAATCCTTCATAATTTCATAGCGAATATTCTTACGGGCAGCAATGGAGAAGGTGTAGGTCATAGAGCATTTATCCGAGGACGACAGCTCGTGAGTTCGCAAATGTATGTGTTTTCGAGCCTATACGTGCAAGATTTCTTACGAATGTTTTCGTGTTTATATCTTCGTGCGTGCAATGTGTAAACCTATAGGAAGATATTAAACCTGAGCGCTGTTCAGGTGAATCGTAATTGTTCTATGGTAATGATTGCATCTTCCGCATAACGTGAGCCGAAGTCTAGAAACAGTTGCGTATTATTCTGATATGATCAAAACGCTAATTATATTTCTCTTCTACGGCTTTCATAGCGTCCGTAATAATCGTTTTGTGTTCTTTTCGGTTTTGTTCTATGAGAAAATCAGATGGTCCAATTTTGTAGGAGGAATACTCGTTTTGTGTTGAATTGGATACAGTAATTTTGTCAGAAACACCTTAAGTGGTTCTCTGATGATGGCTTTTATGTATCTGATAATTATTATGGTTATTATGTCGCCAGAGGAAAGATTAACTAGTTTATAGTTAGTAGACACCTCTTAAGTTAGTAGAGTTTGTTGGTTAATTGCGAGAGGAAGTTGTCAAATTAAGATATAATTGAAATAAAAAAAATTGCAGGAGTTTTCTAAACTCATTTACTGTGTTTCTATTTGTTATAATATTACATCCATTTAATTTGTACTATTAACCCTCCGTCGGTCGGATATTTTTTCACCTTCGAACGGTCGGAAAGGCCTGGCTGGACCACCATTCATTTTACATGCATTTATATGGGATAAATGAGTTTTTGGTGTCTTATATATTAACGATTATTAGTAGTAAATATTTATAGTTTTGATTTTTTCTTTTTCTTACCGTCTTTTGCATGTGTTGAGCTTGCTTATAATAAAAATATTATATTTTATATTCTATAAAAAAAATCAAGAAATATGAAAAAATCGTTTTTTTTTGTTAACAATATTTATTCTTTTTCGGCGCCTGAATGTGAAATTCAAATGAAAACGAAATGAGGTGCGTCGCCTTT